CCCCAAAACCCCAAAACCCCAAAACCCCACATGCCTAGAAAAGGTGATATAAAGAGTTAGAGTAATTTCTGAGAAATTTTTTAAATAAATTATATTCTCTTAGCATTGTTATTTAAGAAATGGGTTAATAAGCATCGTGTTGTAGCTGTAATTACGACTCTTCTAAATAGGAGATTGACTTTGACAAGGCTTAAAATATTCAGCCTTCCTTCAAGGGGTCAAATCCTCCTGGGTCACTTAGATCTGATGGTAAATACAGTAATCGAAAGAAACCTTCTGGAATAAATGTGTCTAATTTAACAAACTCTTAGAATCCCCAACCTAAAAATCATCTCTAGACAAGTTAGCCCGTTTCAATTACTGGATAACAAGATTTAAATCAGCAAAGAATGAGTATGTATATCTTTTTATAATTTTTGCGCTTTAGATAACTTGGAAAATTAGTCGTTTGGTAAAAAATAATCCAGAGTAGAAGTTCATTAATTCACGCATAGTAATAATGATGGATTCAATATTGATATGAGAAATAAAGGCATTTCTATGTAAGCACCTCAAAATGCTTTTAATTAGGCTAATGAGTACATAGAGAAAGAGCCGGAAAAGCCAGGTCATAAGAAAGGGGAATATTCAGTGGATAATCTTAATAACTAGATTTTAAATAGACCTGGCACCTTCGATCCTGTAGGAAAATCCAAAACTGAAGTTTTGTAAGGATAGACTTAGACATTAAAGGCCGGAGTATCATCTATAGTTAATCCGAGGTATATTGATAATACTTGGTTAAGCTCTTTTAAAGTACTTAAAGTTTTAGAAAAAGAGGTATTCTCAGAGCTTTATCTAATAAAAATGTCTTCTCCCTAATCTATAGCAGGCGAATTAAGAGTAATGCGGAAGATTCGAAAAGTCATGTTCCAAGAGACCAATTCAGGGATAGAGGATTTTAGATTTTCTCTTGAAGAGCTCTTATAGTTGGAGCACCCAAATATAGCCTAAATTTATGACTACAAAGAGGATTCTTACAATTTTTACGTTGTTATTGAATATTGTTAAGGAGGGAAATTATTTAGAAAGATTGAAGAGCTAACTGAGATGACAGAAAATTTAGCTGCTGAAATATGCCGCCAGATTCTATCCTCTATTGTTTATATCCACTCGAAAAGTTATGTATATAGAAATCTAAATCCAGATGTCTTACTTTTAGAGACAGATGAGAATATTGTTGATGGATTTAATCTTAAACTTGTTAACTTGGATTTGCAATGTGCATTATCATAAGCGAATCCTTAATTATGCTCGATACCACTTTATTTTCAATCACCAGAGACATTGAAATTAAAGAAGTATACCGATAAATTGGATGTTTGGTCAACTGGAGTTCTGCTCGCTATTTTACTGACTGGTGTCTCCCCGTAGCTTATGGACGGGAGCTCATTTTAGTTGGTGAGTTGTATCATTGAGGGTCGGTTTGATTTTGGATCTCATTAATGGTCTGAAATTTCTCCTAATGCGATTGAGCTCGTGAGAAAACTGCTAGATTTAGATGATGATAAGAGGATTAAAGCAGTCACGGCCCTTAATGATAAATGGCTTCTGAATATAACAAAGGCTAAGAGAAACAATTAGCGGAAGATTCTAAATCAATAGGTTATTACACATCTAAAAATATTCATTGTATTCATTTTACCCTTAATATTAATTTTGTTAGGCGGAGCTCAGGTTCTATCAGTCTATTTGTGAAATGATCTAATAGCACTAAATTAACAAAGAGGAGGAGAAAGCTGTGACATAAGTTTTTAGGACAAAGGATCCTAGTGGCCTAGGAGACTTAAAAATGGACCAGATCCGAGAAGCCTACTCAGAATACTGCGGTAGATTTGTTGAAAAAGAAGAAATTGACAAGCTTTTAGAAAATTGTACTGTTTTTGTTTCAAAGGGTGGAAGTATTAAATATTCTCAATTTGTCTAAGTAAAGAGCAAAAAAGCGATGGAATTTTAGAAAAATATTGTTAAGAAAAATTTCACGATGCTAGACTAGAAGAGATTTACTGGTGACCCTGGGGATTTGCTGATTAAGCCTAATCTTCTGGCCAAATAGGAAGTTCGTAAAATGCTTGGAGCAATCATAACTTCTAATAATGATTAAACCGAAAATTTTTTCAAAGACTTCGACAAGGATCAAGATGGTTTCTAAACAATAGATGAAGCAATCGCAATGGTTATACATGTAGTTAATCATCTCTGAGCTCAGTGATTAAAAGCAAAGAGAAAATTATATTTAGTTTTTTATGTTAACATAATAAAAACATGCTTCTCTAAGAGAGTGAGAGCTACTATAAAATGTTTATAAATCTCTTTTATTCTTAAAATACTTTTCCTATAATTTGATTTATTTAATAAACCTAATAAGCTTCACACTCTATCGAATTCGACATAATGGGGTTTTGGGGTTTTGGGGTTTTTGGGG